CCCCCAACAGTCGGTAAATATCAATCACCAAATCGATGATAATCACCCCCAACAGTCGGTTAATATCGATCACCAAATCGATGATAATCACCCCCAACAGTCGGTTAATATCGATCACCAAATCGATGATAATCACCCCCAACAGTCGGTTAATATCGATCACCAAATCGATGATAATCACCCCCAACAGTCGGTTAATATCGATCACCAAATCGATGATAATCACCCCCAACAGTCGGTTAATATCGATCACCAAATCGATGATAATCACCCCCAACAGTCGGTTAATATCGATCACCAAATCGATGATAATCACCCCCAACAGTCGGTTAATATCGATCACCAAATCGATGATAATCACCCCCAACAGTCGGTTAATATCGATCACCAAATCGATGATAATCACCCCCAACAGTCGGTTAATATCGATCACCAAATCGATGATAATCACCCCCAACAGTCGGTTAATATCGATCACCAAATCGATGATAATCACCCCCAACAGTCGGTTAATATCGATCACCAAATCGATGATAATCACCCCAACAGTCGGTAAATATCGATCAACAAATCGATGATAATCCCCCAACAGTCGGTAAAAAAAAATCGACCAACAAATCGATGATAATCCCCAACAACAGTCGGTAAGTAGAGCACAAAAAACCAACCATCGATAATGCAGAAACTCCACCAACGACCGTAGATAAGGCAGAAACCCAAGGTCGGTACTGCAGAACTCTACTTTATCGAGGGGTCAAACCGGCCTTGCTTATCTACTTTCCTATGTTAGCATTGGAAAAATTCCTATGCTAACATTGGAAAAATCCCAATGTCAACATAGGAATTTTTCCTATGCAAAAATAGGAAAAATCCCTATGTTTTTTTTCTCCGTGTATATAGATGATTATGTATAATTATATATAATTAGACAAAAACTTTTTTCATCGGGCTCTGGCAATTACTTCCAGAAAAGTTTCGTAGTGAGGACAGTAGACTATAACAAGATTATTTTCATGGCGAAAATCTACTATTTTGATACTAAAATTGGGATTATCTCTGAATCTATGAGTCCTATGTAATTTTGTGTGAGAATCTTTTTTATAGAGCATACAATTTCCGGACAAAATAAGTTCATGAAAAAATTTTTTGAGCATTTTTATTTTTGACTGCAATCGGCGAGCCTGAGATGTTGACCAAAAATTTTTTCCTTCCGCACAAAATTTTTTTATAACTTAATAAACAATATTTTTGTTATTGCTAAACGGAATTATAAAAAAGCGGATTTTCGGCCTACCCTACTGAATATACCCGTTATGATTTATAAGAAGTGCCTATTGCAAAGTACAAAAATCCTGATAAATTAACGCAGCGTGAATATAAGGGCCTTTAAATTCACGCAGCGTAAGAGGTCTTGAGGACGTTGAATGCCCCACCTGAAGAGTAAATCAGGTATTCTTAAGAGGGCTCCTATAGAGCTCGTTTTTTGACTTCAGAAAAAATCTTTCTGACTTGGATACTATCTGGGTATTATATAGATATACTCGGTATGAATTGGATAATTTTAAATAAGATTTCCCTGGTTAAAAATATTGATTGAAAAGGATTAAAAATGATGAAATTTGAATACTTTTGAATACTTTCAATTCTTTTTCATGTATATATAGATATACAGATATACAGTTTACATGGGGTGACTGATTCCCAATACTTTTCAATCAATATTTTTAATCAGGATTATTAATCAGAGAAAAACACACAAAAAGAACAATACAAAAATTACATTTCATACTGTAACGTAGCTCCGTGTGAAGAAGTTGAGAAAATTACAGTTTCAGACTAAAATTCTTAAAAATTCTACCACGTTACGGTACAAATTGTAATTTTTATGTTTTTTTTTATAAAATAATTTTTTGGTGTTCTTTTAGCCACAGTTCAAAATTTTAAGTAAATTTTTCCATTTTTTCTATGCATCTGCTCTATTTTCTATATTGATTCAGTGCATGAATAATTTCTAGTGATCTGGAACTGTTTTTCACCATTGCTGATACCATTTTGCGCCGACTTTTGTAAAAACTGCCTTACTTGGGATTATTCGGAATTTCTCCAGTTTATTCTTGTCTGGATGTCTATTATCGTATATGCCTAAAGTTAATAATTGACGTATATTTATCATAAGTATAAATTTTGCTGTTAACATATCCGATTAAAACTACGTAACTATATTAGCATTATTTTATTGAAATTGATCTAATTAGAAATATAAAAAGGTTATGGAAGAACCTGCATCAAATAATTATTAAATTTCAACAAAAAAGGATTGAGATATTAATCTGTTGAAAAAACAAGAATAAAAAATCTTCATTAAGTCCATGATGGCTTATTGCAATTATCAAATTTATAATTTCAAATACAAATTAATTTTTTATAATATGATCAAGATCTTCTTGATACTTTTCTTCCGATATTTCATCGTTACCATTATTTAAGCTATTTTCAGAATTTCGTCGTCTTCTAGCTATCTCACTTGTTACTTCTATACATAATAATGCCAATTTATTATCACATGAATAACGAGTTTGTTCCAAAAGTCTGCTTCTTGTAATTGAAGAGCTTAATCCATATCGATCAGGACTATTAGAGTTCCAAGCATCACAGTAGGTGTCCATAGCTCGATCGCCAAATTTATGGGAGCCATGCCAAATTACCTTTTTAGGCCTGTAAAATATCAAATTTAAGCATCAATTTTTATTATAGTTAACTAATGAAAATATATAATATAACTTATTTGAAACGCAAGAAATTAATACCTAGGGGAGACCGGGGCATTGATTTTTCGATATTTGTGTATCTTTTGCCATATAACATGACAGGGGACTGACTGCCAGGGGACTGATTTTTTTTTATCAAATTGAGAAAAATCAAGCAAACTATTTCAATGCATTCAACTTTTTAAGTTCTCAATGAATGTTTACATTAATTAGAATAATATTAAGACTTATGGATCCAATTTTATAAATAAATTATGAACAAAAATAGCTGCCAGGGGACTGAGTTTTTAAGTGGCCCAGACACATATTTCCAGCACAAACGGTGATTTAACACTAAATAAAATGCCGATAAAGCGCTAACAGCCCTATGGTTATTAACTTAAGGCTAGTTAGATCCTTATAAACTTTACAAAAGGTAAAATAACACGGTAGATTTTTAACTTCCCGCTAAAAATCTCAGATTTTCAAAAATCGGGAAGTTATTGTTTTCACCCCGTTTTGCAAAAATCGAGTTTTCATCAGATCTCGACGTTTGAAGGTCACAGGAAGCTTCCCTGACTACCCCCGCGATATTGTCACTATGTATGTATGTATGTATGTATGTGTGTGTGTGTGTGTTGTTTTTTTTTTTTCCAAAGAGGTACGAACAAAGATCTTCAAAAGACACCGCTATCGTTAACTCTGCCGCCCATCTTACGGCAGATATCGATAGTCGGTAGTGTGGAGATTTTTACCCACTAAAAAAAACATTCCTCTTCCTCTCTTCTCTAGATGGTACGGGGAGGACTGGATTGGAACCGCGTTAGCGTTACTTCAATCCAGCCGTGCTGCGTCTCACGACGCCTACTCCTGGCTACTGGTCTCTTTCTGCGATTTTATCTCTCAGGAGGTGCTGTGCATAAGCTGCAACAGCTGACCAGTTTTCCTCTTGTTTGATCATATAGGTCACCATGCTTGAAGGGGAGAGCCTGGTGCCAATGATCTCTTCGGTGCTTCTTCTGTAGTCCTTCCACCGAGCACACTCGAAGAATGTGTGTTCGGCGTCGTCGATTTTATCCGGGCAGTATTTGCATGTTGGTGTGTTGTGTAAACCCATCTTGAAGAGATAGGTGTTGTACTGCCCATGTCCTGTCAGTAGTTGGGTCAGGAAAAAATCCGTGTCCCCGTGTTTCCGAGAGAGCCAGGTGTTGATGTTTGGGATCAGTCGCGCTGTCCATCTGCCTGTCTCTCCCGACATCCATCAGTCCTGCCACTCTTACTGCGTTTCTGTTTTTATCCTCGTTTTTGCCTCCTTCATGTTTTCGCCGTCGATTTTAGCGTCGTAGAGTTTTGCTCTTCCGAACGCTAATAGGTCGATGGGCGCGGCTCCCACAATGACCAATACAGCCGCTTCTGAAACTGTGCGGTAGGCGCAGGCAACCCTGAGAGCGCCTCGCCGCTGTACTGCTGCTATCTTTCGCCGGTAGGTCTTCTGCTTTAATATGTCTGCCCATATCTCCGCTCCATAAAGCAGTACCGAGTGGACTGCTTCTAGAAGAACTCTTCTCTTTTTTGTTCTTGGTCCCATGGTGTTGGTCATAATTCGTGCTAGGCTAGACACAGTCTTGCTGGCTTTCTTGCATGCACTGTCGAGGTGTTCACGGAAAGTTAGTTTCTCGTCTATCATTACCCCTAGATAGCGCAGGGCCCTTGTTGACGTGAGTATTGTTCCTCCCAAGTCCACAGCGAATGGTTTTGAGAACCATTTGTGACGTGTCAAAACGACCATCTCGGTTTTCTGTTTGGCGAGTTTCAGGTGATGCTTATCAAGCCAAGTCTCGACGGTGTCGATGGTTTCCCGAACTAGCAGTTCGGCCTCTTCTACGCTGTCTGCCACTATAGTGGCTGCAACGTCGTCTGCAAAGCCTGTTAGCTCTACTTGCTCTGGCAACGGGATTTCAAGAAGCTCGTCATAGTCTGCGTTCCATAGATCAGGCCCCATTATTGAGCCTTGCGGCACACCAGCCGTTATGGCGTATTCTTGTGGGCCTTCAGTAGTTTCAACTATAAGCTTTCTATCGTCAAGGTAATTGTCGACTAGTGCCAGATTTTCTGGCTCCACGTCAAACTTGTGCTCCAGAGCGTCTAAAATGTCTCCCCAATTTGCGCTGTTAAATGCGTTTTTGATATCTAGCGTGAGAAGAATGCATACTTTACGAGCTTTAAGGCTACCAGTCCATGCTTCTCTCGCTGTTCCTACGACTTTCTGGATCGCGCCGACTGTTGAACGTCCTTTCCGGAAGCCATGTTAGTTTGCGGCAAAACCTCCAGCACGATCGATATCTTTCCGTAATCTTCCCTGTATAAGCTTTTCGAGCAATTTCCCAGCAATGTCCAACATGCAGAGTGGTCTAAACGACAAGGGTGTTACAGGGCCACCTTTGTCTTTATCTAGCAGAACTAATCTCTGCCGCTTCCAGACCGCGGGAAACGTGCCAGTTGCCAAGCATGCGTTGTAGGTGTTCAGGAGTATGTCTGGATATTCCAGGGCTACAGTCTTGATCACCGATGCTGATATGCCATCAGGGTGCCTTTCCTGATTTGAGGGTCTTCGCTGCATCCTGTAACTCCTCGATTGCTAAAAGTGTTACACTGTTTTTCACATAATGTCTTTTTTCCCTTGGTTGGTGTTTGGGGAACAGCTCCGCTACGATGCTGCTCATTAAAGCAGGTGATTTCGGCGCTTCTGGTGAAGCCTTTCCAAGTCGTTTGGTGACAATTTGGTAGGCTTTACCCCAGATGTCATCATCAAAGTCATTACAGATCTCTTGCCACAATTTCGCTTTGCTCGCTTTGATTGCCCGGTTGAGCTTCTTTTTGGCCTGCTTATACTCGCTCAGAAGTAGATCTTGATTGGGGGAGCGTTTCGCAGCTCTCGTTGCTAGCCGACGTAGTTTGTGGCATTTTTTCCGGAGTTCTGCTATGTCTGCTGACCACTAGTACGCCGGCCTGTGGAAACTCTGATTTTTCAGCCGTGGCATAGAGGCGTCACATGCGGCAGCAATTTTCTTCATCGTATTTAGCACTGCCTTTTCCGTCTCGCTGCACGTATCCGGAGTTGGGTTGTTCTGCAGAATAGACCAGCTTCGTGCAAGTGAAGCTTTCAATGCCTCTGGATTAAGCCTTTTGGCATTCCACTTCCGCTTAGAAACGTCGCATTGTGAAACCGGAGCAAATGCCAATCCAACGCTGAATGTCACGAACTGGTGATCACTGCCACTGTATTCTTCGGATACTACCCAGTCTTCGATCATGTTGGCAGTCCTTGGAGTCGCCAATGAGATGTCGAGAATGGATACCCTGGTCTTCTAAAGGTTGTGTGCTTCCGGTGTTCAGCACTATGAGGTCGAGTCTAGCCGCGACGTCAGCGACTTCGTTTCCTCTGGTATCGGAGAAAGCAGCGCCCCACTCAGCTGATTTAGCGTTGAAGTCTCCGGCTACGATAACTTCATCGTCGAACTTAGTGACCGCATCTTCTATATTTGACAGTTTCTGTCGGAACACACTAATCCCTTCGTTAGGTGAGAGATAGACGCTCATGAAGTAGGTTGTGGGGGTTTGAATCCAGACAAAACCTGCTCCACTTCCGCTGTTGTTGACGGTAACGTACTTTGTGTTCACAATCCAAATTGCTGCCGTGTCCGTTTTGTCTGCGAACCATGTTTTACCTTCGATGTTTAGATATTGCTCGCAGATAAAGCAGACGTCGATTTTATCTTCAAAAACACGCTGGCGCAGCAGGTTTTGCGCCAAGGCGCACCTATTCAGGTTGCCTTATAGTATGCGTGTCATTTCTGACCTCTCGTGGCTTCTGCAAGTGCTTTGCGGAATGTCTTGCAAGCTTCAGTGCCAGAAATATGGCATAGACTATCCTGGGCATCTTTGTCCGAAGCACAAAGGAAGTATTTTAGCTTCTCCGTGCCGTTTACGGCCTTGTGGTTCTCTCCGCCACATTTGTAGCAGCACTTGCTTCTGTCTGGTCCCGCACACTAACGTGTGTGGTGTCTATAACCAAGACATTTAAAACAACGTATTACTTTTACTACTGGGCGTATACGACAGTTCACCAAACCGATCCGTATACGGGCCTTGTCAAGGGCCTTAATCGCACTGGGCTCGTCTAGTTCGCAGAAGGCTGCCCGATTACCTCGTGATGTGGGCTTTGTCAAATTGACCCGTTTGACCTCCAGGCTGTCAGTGAATTCACGTTTGAGTGCTTCACGGACTTCGCTCTCGGTAGAGATTTCATCCAGGTCGAGAATCTCGATCGTTGCTGTTGGTGTTAGCGTCTTGACCTTGCCGATGTTTGCAGTGGCTGACTTTACTGCATCGGTGAAAGCCTTACTGTCCTCGGTCTTTCGAGACATTTCAAGGAGAACGCCTCCATGTTTCGTCTTTTTAATAGACTTTATGTCTACGCCCGTCTCGACAGGGCTTACCTTAGCCTTGATTTCCCTGAGGAGATCGGCGTATGTTCGCTCTTCAGCTGGTTGGACAAGCACAGCTTTAGTTCTCGTCCTCTTCCTTCTCGGTTTCTTGGAGCCATCATTGCTTGACTGGTTTTGGGCTGTAGCAGATTGAGCCGCTGGCTTCTGTTCTCTATCTATCTTTTTCTTTTGCCAAGTCACTTTAGTCCAAGTATCATCCCGGGCTGGCTTTTTCTGTGCTGGCTTGTCAATTTCTGCGGAGGGGCTGGGCGTGGACAGCGGCTTCTTCTTGTTGTTGCCCTCTCCTTGCTGTGATAATCTCTTAGGAGTGACCACAGGTGGCTGTGGTTTTTTGCTTAGACTCAGAAATGTTTGAGTCGTTGACGCTGTCGTCGTTGGTGATTTGTTGGCAAGCCTATATGCCGTACCAAGAGACGTAACCGTTTTTCTGATCTCATGATGGACATTTCTCTTGTCCTTTATGAAGTCGACTAACTCTTCAATCTTGCTGCCGAGTCTCTCCATTGATGACTGTTGGCTGGTGACAGTCGGTACAGAGTTTATTCTTCCTCGGTAGGTTTGGTTTGTGACA